TTTTTTTTTTTTCTTGGCAGTTCTGTAACTTTATTTCAGAGTTGGTTCTCCTCCACATCCCTGTCTGGAGATTTTTGAGCGTGGTAACAGGGACATAGGTTACCAAGGTATACAGCTTCTTTGGTGAATCTTCATCCTCATTCCATTTCCTGGACAACTGTACCTGGATATGAACACTCCTTATTCCTTTGGCCCAGACAGCTTTGTTGAGCCTGGTATCGATGCACACATCTCGAGTCCCCAACCCCTTCAAGGCAAACTTATGGATCTCCTTAAGTGCCCAAGGGGCACGCTTCTTGAAGCCCACTCCATGGATGTGCTTGTGAATGCTGACTATGTATTATCAGGCCACCACCTCAGTGATGGCAGAACAGCCCTTCTTCTCGCTACCCTTCTTTCCAGGAGCTATTCTGCCGGGCCCGAGTTGGAAAGCCCACTGAGATATCTTGCTGACCCTCATGTTTTATTTTTATATTCACATTTTTAGCCTATGAATATAAATAAAACTTCTTTCTGCTATTTACTTTACCTTCTGTTTGATTTATTGTATAACATTTGCTCCATTGTAATTTTGTTTTTGAGGTATGGTCTTTCTGTGTAGTTCAGTCAGAACTTGAACTCATGATATACCCCAGGGTGGCCTGGCTCAGCCTCCCCAGTGCTTCTGGACGTAGACCACCACACCTGCCTCTCTACTGTGAAATTTATGTTTGTGTTTTTCTCCTGTTGGTCTAAAGGCAGTGTTTTCCCTGACACATACAAGCATTGTTGTAGTTTTCATTTTTAAGTTTCAAAACACAAGAGTACTTTGTCTTACAACTTTAATAGTATTTACTGGAGATCCTCTTCAGTACCATTCTTTTTTATTAAAATTCCTTGAGTTTATTCCACTGTGTTGCCTATGAGAGTTGTGTCACAACTTCTCTTTGTGAACCATCAGATGTGTGCTGGCCATCACTCTGGTGGGCTTAGGTCATGACCTGACTCGGATTGTAGCTGCACTGCAAGGGAAAGAGGCCCAGGGATCCCCAGTGACACTGACTCCCTGATTGCTTCCTGTATCTGGGACTCTTCCTGTATCTGGGACTCTTCTAACTGGCAGAAGTTAACAAAAGCCATCCATGAAATTTTATAGTAACAGTAATCAAAAATAAAACTGTGTCTTTTTACCATCCACTTTATTAGCCCATGGTTTACAATGAAAATATATTTGATGTGTATAGTGGTATTTTGATATGCATTTTGAAATGACAACCACAAGCTAGTTATCATGCCCATTAACTGACACAGATTGTGACTTTTATAATCATTTTTACTTCTAGTTATCTTTGGTTAGAAATGCTTTTAGGTCATGAAACACTTTTGATTCTTGAAATTCACCTCATATATGGGATTTTCCTCAGGAAAATATTCCATAAACACTTAATTGGGAAACCAATAAAATACTCTGTCACCTTCCTTGTATCTAAGATCTTATTCTTATCTATTCATTGTCATTGTATTTTATACAATTTGGTGATAGGTTTGAAAATTTTTGTGCATATTCTGTGAAGTACTTGATTACTATTAAAATGTTATAGCATATACCTAAAGAGATTGTGATATACTCAAATTACTCAATAGATGGTAAAGAAAGGAAATACACAAGGAATCAACACCCTTCATCCTACATTGTCCCATTTTTAGGAGACTTTGTAATAATGTAGGAAAATAATACCAGATTTTGTTTCAAAATATAGTAAAGGAATAACCTCTTCAAAACTATCTGTATTATTAAAAACAGAGAAGTAATATCTAGACTATGTAAGGAGCTAAAAAATAGATCCCCCCCAATTTAAAGATCCTATGCAAAAATGGAATCTGAAATGAATAGACTCTTCCCATACGAAGGAGTACAGATGACCAATAACTACAAAAAGTTCAGCATTTCTGGTCATTCAATAAATTTCAATTAAAACCACACTGAGCTTCCATCTCACTCCATAAAGAATGGCTATCACCCAGAAATCAACCGATAGCAAATGTTGGTGAGGCTGTGATAGAAAAGGAACTCTTCTCTATTTTTGGTGGGAGTGTAAAAATTTTTGAGACTGATGAGAAGGTTGGAGAAAGGAGAAGGGTGGATAAAATGAATTAAGATGTGTTACATAAAGGTAAAATTTTCCCATCATGAATATTGATTGCAAACATATGCTAATAAAAAAATTAGAGAAGACTCCCTTCTAGGAAGTTAAGGCAGGACTGAATATCTGAGGATCAAATGTGACCTCCCCTCCCTTCAGTATTGTTCCTGTCCTTTGCATAATCTTTGCTTCCATATACTTAGACTTAAAAACTGTGATAATCATGACAAAATAAGTTGATTTTGAAATTCACTTTGAAGATAGAACTATAAAAGTTCCATTTTCCCCTAATATAAAGTACAATTTAAGAAAAAAAAAACCATATTTTTCTTACACATGGAACTACTTGTATAAAGCTTGGAATGTTCTGCTTAAGTAGATACACTTGTGTACACAGTTAACCGTTCGTAAAGAGACACAGTGTTTGAACTCTCTCAGGTCTCTTTCATAGCAACACACAGTTTGCTGAGTAATTTTTTGAAATATTGAGAAGTTCTACCAAAATGTATATCTTACTCTGACACTGTTATTGAAATCTCATTTTTGACATGATTATTCATTCTAAAATAGCTTTCCTACTGGATGCCTGATATCAACCATCCTGGTTATATTGTTTTGATACTCATAACTAAAATGGAAAGAGTTAGAGTGCATCCCAGCAGACTTATATGTGTGTAATAGGAGATTAATACTAACACATTTTCAAGCTTAAAAATTTACCAGTTATGTACAAGAACTACAAATAAAGCAATTCATCTTAAAATTATTTAAAAATGATATCCCATGTAAATCTTGTCTTAAGAACAAAATACATTTTTAAATTGTGTAGATTGACTAATTAAGATATAAATGTAATTTTATCCAAACGTTAAATAATTCAGGAGTTATTAATAGTATCTTACTAGTAAATGTAGCTCAAGTAACATAAATAATGAGGTCTTTTTAGTACATCTGTTTCCTGATTCTTAATTTGATCAGTAATCAGTCTTGTGTTTTTCCTCGACAGGCTTATGCAGGCAAGGATTTAGAGGAGCAGTTGCGGTCTGTGTCGAGTGTCGATGAACTCATGTCTGTACTCTACCCAGAATATTGGAAAATGTACAAATGTCAGCTGAGGAAAGGAGGCTGGCAGTATAATAAAGAACAGCCCAAGCTCAACACAAGGGCAGAAGAGACTGTAAAGTTTGCCGCAGCTCACTACAATGCAGAAATCCTGAAAAGTAAGTACCAGACAGAACATGTGTAATAAGCCTCATCTGTCAGCCTAGTGAGAGCTGCCAGCTGTGGTACCACTGAATGTACTCGAGGGCTTGCAAGTAGAGAAAACAGCAATGAATCAGACTCAAAGCACAACATTTTGTGACTTAATTTTGAGTGTTGATAATTTCTTAAAACAGAAAGGTGTATGCATATCAATGCAAGTATTTTTAACATTGAGGTAACATCCAACTGTAAAATTTTTAAGACGTGTAGATAGATATATTTCACATGCTAGGTTAACTCTTCTTTTAAAGATATATTCCCATTCACAGGCCAATTTATTTAAAGGCTGTGAATCTACAAAATATCTCTCTCTATTCTTTCTATAAGAATGAATTTTCTTTCTTTTTTTTTTTTTTTTTTGTATTTTAGTGAAGGGTCTATAGGGTGTTCAGTATCTCACTACTAGATCAGACTCTTAGTAATCTGCCTGTCTACAGCCTCCCAAGAGCTGGGATTACAGGCACGCTTCACCAAGGCCAGGCTCAATTGCTGTCTCAGTTTGCTCTGGGGGCAGGGCCTGGAATAGCAGGCTCAGGGATTGAACCCCAGCCCCTGTACCTGCTTGTAGGCACTTTAATCTGCTAAGATATTTGGCAGACCCTATGAATTTTCTTTTTAACATGGATTTATGAATCCTTAAATTCTGTCAAAACAAACCCAGAACACCTTCACAAACACTAATTGTTGACTTGTTGCTCACAGAAAAGTACTGAGATGTACTTTTATAAAGCTGATAAAATAGCTAGCATCAAATTTTACAGGATTTGTGATTTGAATAAACACTAATATAGGTTGTTGGGCTAATTAAAAATAAATAATTCTCTTTAGTTCTTTGATATTGCTATAAAGGAGTCTCATTGCAATGTACTTTGAAAACAAGAAAAAAGTGGTTTATGGTTGAATAACCAATAATTGATGTCTTTATTTTCCCCAAATTTTGTTTTAGAGGAAATGTAGGGGGAATAAACTAGGACTTTGAGGAAGTACATTTGTTGTGCAGGAAAGAGTCCACAATGTTGTGGGACACTCACTAACTCATTGTAAACGGATTCTAAGAGAAAGCACAAAGAGATAGGAAATTTCATTTTCCTGAAAAAAGCACAGTATACAAGTCTTGATGGGTAGAAAATAGACTTGCATTTCACGTAGCTACTGCCATGACGTCCAAAGTTGCCAAATAGCCTGCCTGAAAATGACTGTTGAGTCCAAAACCATTGTCATCTTTCTCTCCTTTACATCTCAGTTTAAAATAAAAATAAAATCATATTGTTTTCAATTGCTCCCAAACCCAAAAATGCTGCGTACTCTAGAAAATGAGTGTGAGTGTTTCTACACGTCTTGTAAGCATCCACATGTTAAATCTCCATTTTCTAAAGAAAAGAAAACCAAACCTAAATGCTGCAGGAGGATAATGGTGCACTTTTCAAAAGCTTAACTCTAATTTAGCTTTTTATGTAGCTACTGAAATGAGTTTTTAAAAAATCTTGAACTGTTCTTTCAAATATATATTCCCTTTCCCAGGCCAGGTTAGGGTCCTGTCAGCTATTGCTCTACATTTTCATATTAAAGTCTAATATCAAATGTAACTTCCAACCGCTCTGAACTGTTCTCCCTTGGTGGCTTCTGGGTAACTGAAGGACTTCCCTGTGACTCCACAGGTATTGATAATGAGTGGAGAAAAACGCAATGCATGCCACGGGAGGTGTGTATAGATGTGGGGAAGGAGTTTGGAGCAGCAACAAACACCTTCTTTAAACCTCCATGTGTGTCCGTCTACAGATGTGGGGGCTGCTGCAACAGTGAGGGGCTGCAGTGCATGAACACCAGCACGGGCTTCCTCAGCAAGACGGTAGGTGTCTACACTCGGGGTGCCCTTCTGGGGAGGCAAGACCATCGCAGGGGGAGGAAGGGCCTTATGCTTCCGGTTGCATTAAAGTGACAATTAGAGTTCAAGTCATGTTTTTCTCGGAGAATAGAGTAAATGTTTCAATATTTTCTGTTTTTTAGTGATGTAATTTTATGAAGATCCTAATTGGTACATTACAGACTCTGTTCATATAGTGGCGACAAAGCCTAATGGAGAAAATAATAAATATATATATATACACACACATAGGTGTATACACACTGTATATGTGTGTGTTGATCTTCAAGAATTTTCATTTGGCAATAAAGTAGTTTTAAATGGTTAAAACTTAATTCTGATTATAGAGCTATCACACAATTTCCATATGGCAAATACCTAAATATATGAGTTCTGCAAAACAGTGGTGTAGTATGAAATAAGCCAACAAGTGAAACACAGTTATGTGTCCTTGTATCAGCGGAGTGGAGACAATGCTGACATGAATTTTGAGTAAACTGTAGAGCCAATCACGTTAGATGTTAAGCTGCTAATAAATACTCTACAGTTGGGTTTGGATTGTGGGTTTGTTTTTTCTTTCTTTTTTTTTTTTTTTTCTGTATTTAGGACAGGGTCCACAGGGTCTCACTACATAGATTGGACTCATAGTGATCCTCCTGTGTGCATCCTCCCACAATCTGGGATTACAGGCATGCGCCACCACACCAGTCGCATCTCAGCGTACCCCTTGGGCGGGGTGGGCACTGCACACCAGGGATTGAACCCCAGCTGCTGCGCTGTGCCTAGGCAGGTGCTTTAGTCCACGAGATCGTGGTTTTTCAGAGCAATACACACTGGGTGTGTTTCATGTCTTAGGTGGAAGAGCAGGCTGCCTATGGGCAGCCAAGCTCTTGTGTCCAGGGTGCATGTGGGAGTTGATGTTTGCAATTTTGTGTGCTGTTGGCTTCCATAGAAGTTGGGGTGATCTAGTGTGGCAGGTTGGCCAAAAGACAAGTCTGCATTTGTTCTAATCGCTTCTCTGAGCTGTTTTGAGTTAAACCATCGTCGGTTATTTGCCTACATTCACAATTATCCTTTGTCCGTTAGAATTAAAAATGAAATGTTTGATATGATGTGAGATTTGATATATGAGATGTAATGATAGCAAATTCAATTCTGTACACATTAGCTGACCTACTTGGTCAGAAACTTACTGTAAAGTATAGTGCAGCACAGTATGGTAGTAATAAAAGGTCAGATTACTGCCCTAGTACCTTCTACTTCATGTTCCACTGAGTTGAAAATTGGTCTTTAAGGTGTGTGCAAAGACACTGGGGCAGAGAGAACACAGTGGTTCCCAAGATTTGAGGAAGCCTAGAATGCTGGTAACATAAAACTTAAAGGAATCCTTGTGTTATAGGTGGGTATAGACCAGGTATTCAAAGCTATGATAAAGATGTTGCTCCTATTCTAAAAACAGTGGACATCTTGGGGAGGGAGGAAGCACGTGCATATAGACTTAGCACTGGAGAGGTTGAGGCAGGAAGATCAGCAGTTGCTTAGCAGTCTGGACAACTTAGCAACTTCACAAAAATCCCATCTTGAAATACAGAAATGAAAAGGACAGTGGATATAGTTCAGTATGAAGGCCCTGGCTTAATACCCAGTACCACACATTAATTATTTTAAGAAGCGATGGGAAATCTTTGACAAGCCTTGATGGCTGGCAACTGAGAACACAGACTCAGATTTCTTACACTATGATGCATGCTGGGGAAATTCTAAAGGATCCATTTGTCAGAGAGAAAGAGAACAGATAGGATGTGATGGGGTGAGTTGGAAAGAGGGATTGTGTAGTACAGTGGTGGTGGCCACAGAGTGGAGATTGAAGATATTGAGAGAAGAGCATTAGTATTTGTCCTGAAACAACTCTCCTCCAACTTCCTACACTCTCTTTGTTTCCTCTATTCTATTTTTGTTCTTCATAGTGTTGACTTCCAAATCTTCATCTTCAGTTTAGACTTCACTCCTGGTTTCTGTAATACAGTGTCCACTGAAACTGGGCTTTTTTGCACACAGCTCACAGCCAGTCTGTCCTATAATGGAATAAGGAACTATCTCCTGCTTGACCAAATAAACGAACAAATATATTTATCTTTTTGGTCATTGTTACTATGTTTGTTGTCCATTTCCCCAGCAGTCTCTATCTCAGTAAATGACACTGTTATATATCTATTCGGTACACCTATTCTTTTAACTAAAAGCTATTAAGTAACTTCTTCTTCCAAACATGTCTAGAATGCATACAGGATCTTCGTTATGTTAATCTTGCTGTGGGCTGAGTCACATTTATCTCTCACTTGCAGCCTTACATCTTGAAAAATCTAGTAACTGGTCTCATAGTTGCTTTCTTATCTCCCTTTAATATGTTTGCCATATTTTAATTGAAACTTCTTAAAACTGTTTCAAAAGCAGTGCATTCTGAGCACTCAGCCGGCATATCCATAAAGCAGTGCTTGCTGACTGAGTTATTCAAGCGTCTGCTTTGGTTGGTGCAGTGCTCAGAGGTGTTAAGTATTTTGAGTGACACCCTTCTCTAAGATGAAATCCATTCACATCTTTCTGGTCCCTTCATGATGTAACTTCTCTGTAAATCTTTAGCTTTATTTTGTACAGTCTTTCCCTTCAAAAACTGCTTTCTACCATTATCCAAATTGATTAGCCCTTAGGTTTTTGCCTGCGTCTCTCCATTTCAAGTCACTGCAATGGCTATGCTTTGTGCTTGAAGCATCTCCTTACCCATGAACTACAGATGTCCACTTACACAGCTGATTTCTATTCATTTTAGGTGTAGAGCTAAATGACACTTCTGTTACATGCTGTTGAATATTCCTGTAACATACTCTGTTGCCCGTGTATTACCGTGATTATACCATGGCTGTCAGATTGCTTTATTCTCTAGACTTTAAGTTTCCTGAAAGCAAACATAGTGTTTGGCTATTAACCTGGGACATAGTGAGTGTAACAGTTGGCACATAGCAAACACTTAGAACAGAATGGAATGAATACTTGAATCAAAGGAAACGCATCCAGGATCAAAGGGAGAATTCTGAATTTACTTATTTTGAGAATTAATATACTATGTCTGTGCAGATGGTAGAAGAATTTTGGACATGTGATTCACGAATTGTAGGGAAATGATTGTGTTTTTCGGTATAGAGTTAGAAGGAAGCATCTTATTGATGATACATGGCATTTGAAACCTTATGGGTTTGTTAACAGAGTTCATTTATCAAGAAAGAAGAGCAAAAACTAATGCCAAAGAAAAGTTAACATTCATTACGCATTGTCCCATCCATGTTTGCCTTCAATTTTGTAATAGTGTATTTTTCAATCCTAAGAATTCATTCTGATGTTTTTATTTATAGTGAAAGAATAATTTTAATTTAAATTTAGTTAAGCAAGTGACCTATGTTTTGCAATAAGTAAGCAGTAACTTAGAGATTCTGTCCTAAAAAGCAAGTAATTAGTAACAGTGTAAATGTTGTGAAAGAAAGAACAAAAGTTTATGGAGATGCCTTTAAGGAAGTTCAAACCAAAGGGATCGGGGAGGCATGAAATTCCTGGTAGCACAAGGCAGTGTGTTTCCTGGCCTCAAAGATTGCAGTTTACAAAAGTTCCTATTTATATAACACCTTTTTCTACATTTACTTGAATGATATATCATAATGTGTAAATGAGAGTGCATGAGGATTTCTTTCAAATATAAAAGGAAGTTTTTATTACTAAATTGTAGTAAAGTAAAAAGGTTTTATTTTCTCTTAGAAGTTTTAGGCATATTTTTAGAGGAATCAAAGTCAATAATTGAAGTCAAATAAATTATAAGGACAACATAACTTCATGTTCTTTTATAAGTACTTCGTAGAAGCATGCTTTGCAGAGCTCAGTGAAGGGCAGGTTATCAGAATATGTGAGAAGCCAGCTGCTAGTGGGCAAGTGGAACCATATGCTCTAAGCATTCCGAAGTGAAGTGGTCCATAACAACTGCTGTGAAGTCCGCTTCCACAGTAATATCTAAGTGGTTTTGAAAACTCACTCGACTAGTTGTCTTCTTGACCTCGTTCATAAATGTACTTGAAGCATATTTTCTTGAGAAAAGTTGTATAGTTAGTAGATAAAACTAAAAATTAGAAAAGAAGTTTTATTTTATTTTGTATTTTAGTACAGGATCTACAAGGCCTACAGGGTCTCACTACATAGATTAGACTCATAGTGATCTGCCTGTGTTCAGCCTGCCAAGAGCTGGGAGTACAGGCATGCACTACACCACACCCAGTCTCAACCTGTCTCGGTGCACCCTGGGGATGGAGCCAGCAGGGCAGTCTGAGGATCGAATCCCAGTCACTGCATTTGCCTAAGCAGTTGCTTTAGCGGGCACTTTAATCCACTGAGCTATTTGGCCTGCCTTAGAAGAAGTTTTATAGAAGGTAAAGTATTTCACGTAGAAAACAAAAGCAGAAGAAAGTCATCTGCACTTAGCCACCTATTTGTATAAAAAGCTATTTGAATGTTACTTTTGCTTATATATTTTGCTAAAGACAGAAATGAACAAGAAACACACTGCTGAGTCCATGAGGTCTTGTGAAAAGTCCTGGAGTTCTCACTGAAGAAAAGAAAATATATTTTCAAAGTTTAAAGAAAACAGCATAGCTTTCATGAGTTCTTAGTTAAAAGTTCTATATTTCCATCCTAAAAAAAGCTATGTTTT